AGAAGTCTATGGAATCCTGGAGAATCCTATGGAATCCTAGAGAATCCTGGAGAATCCGAAGGAATCATAGGGAATCCTTGGAATCCAGGAGAATTCAGGATTCCAGGATTCTGTGCTTTCCCCCTTGAATTACCCTAACTTTTCCTCTAATTTGCAATAGATCATATAATAAGACAGAAGCAAATCGTTTGTGGAAGAATTGTGTTTTTTAAAATATTTTTCGTTATGAACAAATTTTTATAGAAATCAAATGCACGATAGTTAATTTTCTTTTTATTTCACTCTGCTATCCCATTCATCTCAGTTTTTCCATGTCTCTGATCACATTTCCTTCGTTGCTTTTGTTTCAGATGGCAATAAACAGGAAAGTCAAAGAAGAGAAAAAAAACCAGAAGTAGAAATTTCCAGCCAGAAGAGCTGCGTTTACTCGTTGAAGGAGTCTCGGAGCATTCGCTAATATTATTCGGTAAATTCAGCTTAAGTGTTTCAAATAATAAGAAAAATTGTTTATGGCAGCAAATAGCTGAATCAGTCTCGGCAGCGGGCTGCGCTGAGCGAAGTATTGAAGATTGCAGAAAAAAATGGACGAATTATAGGTAATAGAACTGTTTTTTGATACTCTTCTTCGATTTATTGTCTCATGAGTTATTCTCGATTTCTTTTAGTAGCGACATAAAAAAAAAGCAAGTGATATTAAACGGTCCATCGACAAAACGGGTGGTGGTCCTGCGGATGTTGGACTTGATTCGATCGAAACCATGGTTATAGGTATAATGGGTAAGACCACTGATCTGTTTTTGTATTTTCCCGTAGATTCAAATGTTATTCTTTATGCACTGTTAACGTAAACTGTAGACTATAAATTTTCTTTTGTATCTCTTTTTAGGCAACGTATCAGTCGACGGAATTCCTAGCGGAATAGATACGGACAAAAAGTAAGCGGTAAATTTTTGTACATTTCGACTAAATTTGCGTTAATTTGAATCGTTTCTTCTACTTTAGCAGTGGCACACAGCAATCTTCACGATCACCATTACGGGCTGATGATGGAATTATGTTATCGACATCCTCACCTTCGTCTGATCATAATGACTCGCAGTCGCCAACAACGGCTGCTGCTGGTCGTCAATTATTGTCCAATATAACACACCGTACAAGCTTCGACACTCCTATTCGTCGTATTATTTCACATGAGCATTCTTACGAGAATTCAAAAACAACGTTATCTAAACATCGAAAAAGATTTAAAAAAACTGACGATGAAATCAATTCAATTATTGAAGTGGAAAAGAAGAAATTACATATTCAAGAATTGTCATTGGTAGCTGAACATAATCGTACAGCATCACTACACAGCATTGCATGCAGTTTACAACAATTGGTATCATTAATCAAATTAAGTACACAATTACAAGGTGATGCATTGAAATTACCACGTTCAACGACAGATTTACCAAGTGTCAATGATATATCAGCACTATTAAATCAAGATTTATTTGCACCGGATTCATCTATAGATGAACCTCATTATCATCAATTAGATTAACGTGGTAAGCATATAATATTTCGGCGTTTATTTAATCGATAACATTTTTTATTTGCTTACTTTTAGAATAGAAAAATGTATATATGTTTGATGGCAAGACAAAATAGTTTATGGGTTGTTAAACAATTGAAAAAATGTTTATTTTTTGTGAACTAGGATATTTTTTCTCATTAATCATAAAAAAAATATACTGTCTGTGAAGAGAACTGAGCTGTTTTACAAAGTAGCGGGTAAAAATGATCATTCGTTTGCTTCGTTCCGTCTGCATATGCGAAACTTTTTCTATGTTTTTGATGAGAACTTTCTTTTTGGCTGTCTGGGGTTTTTCCTTTCATTCTTGAACCAGCTGTAACAACTAATGCTGTTGAACATCAAAAATGTTTTCATATTTTATGTTTTCGTTTTTATATAAAAATATATTCTTGTTGTTTGTTTTTTAAAGGAAAACGAAATGAAATATAAAATTCTCATAGTTCGAACGAAAAAACGTTTGCGTTTTCGAATTTATTTATTTATTCAGTCTTGTCCGAAGGAGCTCATCCACTGTATCAAATAAAATA